TGTGGTCCCAAGCTGGGCTCTGCTCTCTGCTGACTGAGACCACTGGTGCCACAATAAACAATCTCTGACACATGGTCAGGTGTGTGACACCCAGAGAACATGTGTGTGAGCATTACAGCAACCGCCAGCAAACAGTGATCAGAATATAAATGTTCAAAGAGTACCACAGCTGAGTATGTGACCCCTGATCATTGCAACAAGAACAGCAATGAAGAGAAGGGAAAGGGGTCAGTGATGGAGGGAGAGGGGCGAAGGGGAGAATCTTCAGCTAAATAGATCTGAACAAATTCATAACAAAGCTATAATTCCTATAATCCCAGGAATTATATCAGATTAATTACCCGAAGTGCCAAGTGATTCTCATGAGCCATTAGTAACGTTATTGTATTTAACACTTGTCAACATTTAATAAATTCTCAGCATGCCACTTAAAAAACAATTCCAAAATTTACAAATCACTTAGATAATGGGCCTCAGAAGGGAAGGAGTTGAGGGTGGGGAGCAAAGTGGATAAAGGCTTTTAACTGTATGATGAGTGATGGAATTCGACTCAGTGGTAAACTGAATGTAATATAGAGAGATGTTGAATCTTGGACCTGCACAATATTCATAAACCAACATTACTGAAATTTTTAAAATCCACTAAAGGCTAATTTCTTGCAAATATGGTTGATTAAATGTTCTGAAATCTTTCACAGTATTAAGTACTGAAGGCTTAAAGCATGAAGAAGGTGGAAAAAGAGAGAAGGAGAAAGAAGAGAAGAAGGAAAAGGAAAAGAAGGAAAAGGAAAAGAAGAAGGAAAAGGAGAAGGAGAAGAAGACAAAGAAGAAACAAGATCACAGAAGGGGGTCACAGTAGGAAAAATTTTGAGAAACACTGCTCTGAGATAAAGCCTTAAAATAGGAGTACAGATTCACAAAAAAAATATGTGTAACGTTAACATTAAGCATAATAACATGCCACATCAGCTTCACACGACACTATTTGGATAGTGTGAATACCAAAAACTAAGAAAGTATACAGAAATATAAAAATTATCATTCACTGCTTTCAAACATCATTTTTTGCAAAGCAATTTTGCTTTATCTAGTAAAGTCATACACATATATTTATATATAATATCCTATGAGATATTGATTTTGTCTTGCTACTAAGTGTACAGTCTTAAAAATCTTGTGAACCTTTGTTCTATATTGAAACAAAACACAATATATGTTGCTCTTGGCAACATAATTTCTATAATAGATGCAAACAAGTTATTCAAATTCACTCAAGAAGTTGGATGAAGTGGAAGATTCATGTACGAGAGCTCTCTAGACCAGAAAAAAAATGAATGACTATTATCTACATGTCTTGGTATAAACATAATGTGGGAGTTCAAGAAACACCAAAAGATTCCATTTCTCTTCATGATCTTACCATACCTTAAGACAAAGCCAGGATGGATCTTTCCTGCTCCTGTGCTATACCCAGGCTGTCAGCTCTTCAGAACAATACTTACAATCTATTCATAGTCACACCCACACAAAGAAGATACTCAAGTGATATTTGTTAAATGAACAAACTTTGAACAAAAAAAAATGCATATCAGGAAATAGACCCTATATTTCTAGTCTGATTACTGATGCATGAAATCCCAAACTCTAATCTTACCTACTAGAAACCCATTCTCCCAAAGACCCAGTGGATAAATGGTTAACTGGTTTACTGACCATGTTAACCCCATCCCCTGGATCCCTGATACCACATCTCCCATACACACTTTCATCTAATATAACTCCAGTCCCTCTATGACCACGTTTCCACAAAAGAAACCTAAGTGAAAGAAGCTTGACATTGTCAGTAAAGTGGTATTATCAATTAATGTCTTAAATTTTTCTCTAGACCTAATTTAGGCAGGCTGTAGTATCTTCCACTTAACATCACTATCACTGCCACTGTCTGCCTGTTGTTCGTCCATTTGCTCCAGTGGGCCCAGTAACATTGTGAGACTTGTTACTGTATTTACCATAGATTCCAAAAAGTTAGAATGAAATAAGAATTTTGGAAGATCTCCATAGATAAGATTCAGAAATGCAAACAAAAGCTAAGACACAAGTGAAGAAATTTTCCTTCAGATTGATCAAATTAATAAGAAAGTGGGAGGGCATTAAGCCCTGGGGGGAAAAACTTAATTATATTGAACTATTGTGGGTAAAGGGCTTATGAAATTCATGAGCACCTTCAAATGTGAGAAAACGAAGTGAAGAAAGAGTTATGGGGGAATATAATGGATATATATTCTCTCCTGAAGCACGATGGTACTTTTTAAGCACATCCTTTTAAATACTGAGGATTCTCCTGCTTTGAATATTTTAAGAATTGAGTACTTTACAAGTAAAAGTGTAAAATATTACTTTAAAAGTAGAAAGGTAATTTTTATATGTATATAACCACAGTTATAATCATAGCAATCAATCTTACAATACAAACTGACCTAAGCAAGAATTGTACCTTAATTCTGGTTAATGGCATACCCACTGTCAGTTAATTCCATCGTCTCTGCAGGGAAATGTGGTATTAGAACACTGCAATTATCTGGTTCAGCAAGACCAAGTTCATTTGAATATAAAACTTTATAGATAAACTTTCAAATTCCAAATGTCATCCAAACTTTAGGAATACTTGTCAGCAGACTGGAATACTCTGGAATCTCTACCTATTAAGCACTGAATCACACTTATTCTAAAGAGAAAGGTTAGTATATCTTTATTATCTAGAAAATTCACATTCCTTTTTTTCTTTCTATCAATATTTCATAGTCTAGAAGCTAGTCTGATTTGTTCTATCTTCTTGGATACATCACTTTTTTTTTTGCTTTTTGGGTCACACCCAGAGATGCTCAGGGGTTACTCCTGGCTTTGCACTCAGGAATCACTCTTGGCAGTGCTCGGGGGACCATATGGAATGCTGAGAATTGCACCCGGGTTGGCCACATGCAAGGCAAACGCCTTACCTGCTGTGCTATTGCTCCAGCCCCATAAATTACTCTTAATTCATGTCAGTGATTTGTTTAATTTCTCCATTGTACCAAACATCCCAGTTTGGTGAAGGAATTGTTACTCTGAGGTTTATGGCACAGTTAATCAAACAAGATTGATGTTTAAGGAGGACCTCAAGAACAAAAGAGAGACAATATAAAACCTGAAGTACAACAGAACTTCAGCTTCTTGGCTTGATTATAATTCAAACACCAACTAGATAGATACTTTTGAAACTATCCATTCTCTGAGCTTCTTTGGTGAATGAAGGAGGCTACATTTGTCGCACCCAAAATTCCTTCCCATGGAGTTGTTCAAACCTAATAGGCTGAGGTTATAAGCAAGTATAAGAGAGTATCTTTAGAAGGTGTATGTGGAAAAAAACAAGTTGGAATTCACTAGGGAAGGTTTCCTCAATGTAGAGAGTGTTAAGGTTCATGTAGAAGTACAATTATGGAGTGGGATGACAGGCACTACTGTTGTGGTATTGTGTGGGACCTGACCATGCCATTTGGAAATCCCACTTATTTCCTATTCATTCCTTCTGTTATGACAAATCCATGCCATTCTCTATTTATTTAATTCTGCGTCAACAGAAGAGTTATAAGGGGAAAATGTTCAAGATGGGTGGACAAAGAGTAGCTTCATCCATCTCGCAGTGATATGTTCATGATAGTCACACATGATGAGTTAGTGATATGTTCAAATAACAGAGTTATCCACCAGCCGATGTGTAATTGAAACTGCCAGTTATCTAGGTGAGTGGATCTATGATAAAGCCTTCATACTCATTGAAAGGCCAGACTATCTGGATTGCTACCTAGCAATTCTATCAGCCTCAAAATGTGTCTCTGCTTCTTTTGGTGCTTGCAAGATTTACAAAGTTATTTAATTCAGGAAAAGATCAAAATTGTTAAGGAATTTAAGCACCTGTCCATTTTTATGTATAGCAGCATATTAGAATGTACAGTTTCTAACTGCCCACAAACTCTAATATTGTGGAAGAAAGTCCCAGGGAAGTTACCATCTATCAAGGCCTTAGATAGTCTGTAGATAAATTACTTGCCCTTTTGGCCTTTCATTCTCCTAGCTGAAAAGCTCAAAATGAGTCCTCTTCAGCCTTATCAAAATCTGCCCTCTCCCATTCCTTCATCATCTATTTTCTCTTTGAGGTTTTCAGATCCTTAAGATAGATTAGTAATATTAGAAAATCCTTGGTAAACTGTTCCCCTATCCATGATTTATTTTCTCTGGTAAAAGTATAAAGTTATACAATATTTTTAAAAAGTCCCAATAGACTGACCCTAAGGGTACAGTCTATAATCTCCTCCATGTTAAAGAGAATGTGGAAATTATAAGGAAAAAGCTCAGGTCTGTTTGTCTCTTACAATGACCTGAAAGGTTTTTGTACAAGGCAGAAAGGAGCAATTCAGCTCATTCCTCTGGCATGGGTGCAAAGACCATACCTAGTCAACTACAAATAGTCAAACACAGCCAAACACAGCTGAGCTGAATTCACCTGATAAGAAGTGCTCATTTATTTTTCAGTGTCTCATCACATATCATCTTCAGCATCATCAAGCTTTTAAATCAGTCATCTGTATGCAGACATAATGAGCTATCTGGTAATCCTCTACACTAATGAATGACAACATTACTGATGCTTCAAATCTTTGTTTTAATTTAAGCCATTTTCCTCTAAGACAGGCAAGAGAGTTTAAAAACAAATTAACCACTATGAATCTCAACAGTACCATCAATTCATGTGGCAAAGAACCAAAGAGATGTTTTCCTTTCCTTTCTGAATAGAAACACAAAGAGACTGGAATACAGAGGAGTGGAATGCTTCATAGTATAGAATCCCACAATCTTTCTGGCAACAGAATGGACAGGAGTTAACACATTCAAAGCAATGCAGGTCAAGTTACAGTCGAACAACTGAAATCTTCAGTCATGTGAAGAGACTAAAGTCACAATACCATTTAATCCACAGGAGGGCTCCTCCACCTCAGCAACCTTCCAGCTCTTCCTCCTGTAAACTATGTGTGGGTAGTAACCTCCCTCAGCTAGTGGATGCTTTTGGATGGGCTCAATGAAGAAGTCTCCATGTGGTAGGTGAAAAAATCCAGTCTGTAAAACAAATAATACAAAGATTTATTTGGATATATTTTTGCTTGTTTGTTTTTAATACTGGGGTCACACCTGGATGAGTTCAGGGCTCACTTGGGGCTTTGCACTTAGAGATGACTCCTGATAAGATCAGGGGAGACTAGATGTGGTTCTGGGAATCGAACCAGGGTCAGCTGCATTCAAAGCAAGGGCTTTACCCACTCTTCTGTCACTCCTGCCCCATGCTTTGGTTATATTTTCTATTTTGAAGGAAATTATAACAGTAAAAATTATATACCTCATGATGATCCCTGAAACTTTTAGATCAGTGCATCCAGAGTCTCTTGGATCTCTCAGAAGAACTCATGTAAGTAACTTAATGAAATGTCTTCACAGTAATAGTTGTTCAATTTGGCAATCATGATCCTTTTAAGACTAACCAAAGGAGTATATATAGCACATCTCCAAAATGCAGCATACAGATATTCAGATTAATGTATCCCTTTCTTTCGACCCATCAAAGTGGATCAATGAATCTGAATAGCCCAGTGTTTCCCAGCTACCCCGCTATGAAACTGACACCATATTCCATATTCTATCAACAACCTTTTGAATATTAATTTGTCCATAGGCAGCACAGTCACATGCTAGATTTGTGACACTTTGTGTTTGTTTGTTTGTTTGTTTATTGAATCACCATGAGATACAGTTACAGTGTTTCATGTTTGAGTTTCAATCATACAATGATCAAACACCCATCCCTCCACCAGTGTACATTCTCCACCACTAATGTCCCCAGTATCCACCCCCTTTCCAACCCTCTCCTTGCCTCCATGGCAAACAATTTTTCCCATACTCTCTTTCTACTTTTGGGCATTATGGTTTGCAATACAGATACTGTTTGCTCCTCTATCTACTTTCAGCACACATCTCCCATCCCAAACTATCCCTCCAACCATCATTGTCTTAATGACCCATTCCAACTGCCTTCTCACCCACTCATGAAACAGGCTTCTAACTAGACATGTAACATTTTGAATTGAAGCTTTTAATGTCATTCTGCAATCAGGAAAACAAAGAAATGAAAGATCAAGTTCCTGATCCGAAATTCCAGGCATTTACAATGGAAACCCCCGCCCACTTAGTATCCAGGGAAAAGGAGATCACACAATGCACAGATAGGGGAATCCATGAAACACTGGGAAATCAGATCTAGAGGGAAATATTTCAAACTGTTTATTTTCCTGACAAAGTATTTCTTCATGTAAATTTGAGCCCTTTAGAAAGCTACTTTGCTAGTGAGCCCCCTCAGAGGAACTTAACTTTCTAGAACTTGCCTGAGATGGTCTGTTAGAGGTGTCAAATTGAGCTGATGAGATCAGATACCAAAATGAAAACTGATCAAATCCCAGTTCCTCCACTCACATAATTATATGGCCTTGACAATAACTTGTTCAGTTTCCATTTTCTTGGATAAAAAGAGGCATAATCAAGAGCTGCCATGAAGAACACATACATAAGCAAAGCTCCTAGAAAAGGTCTGATTCAGAGAGACTGACACAAAATGATCTCACTCAAATGCAGTACATAAAGTGGTGGAATAGCAAACACCCAGAGCCAATGGAAACAAAGAACATGAGAACTGATATCCAGTAGGAACCATGCCACGCGTGGGGGCTGAGTGTAGGACAAGGAAGGGGCAACGACTATGGTGGAGGGACACGTTCAACGAGGATAAGGAGGTGGTGCTGAAAGACGGTGAAGTGTTGGGTATGAAACCTGTCAGCGACTGTACCGTAAACCACAGTGAACAACATTTCCCTCCCATCCCCCCAAAAAGACCGCTCATAGAGGCAGACTGGTGGGTGGGAGGCAAATGAGGGATGAGAGGCTCTGGTGGAAGGAAGTGAATACTGGTGAAGGGATTGGTGTTAAAACACTGTGTGCCTTAAGCCCAATCATGAATAACTTTATAACTTCACAGAGACTAAATATTAAGAAAGGAAGATAAAGGAAAGATCTGACCATAGTCTGATCTATCATTCGGTTCTCTGCAGACCTCAAGTTTCAAACCTTGTTGCTGTCCATAGGGTGCTGAATCAGTGAGCGTTCAAGCAGTATGAAAAATAAATCTGGAAACAACAGGAATTAGGAGATTGTGAATGGAACCCGATGTCCAACCCCCCCTCATCATACCTGGGATGCTCTCTTCTGCAAAGAAATATTAAACATTTAGCTGAGCAACCCCTCAAATCAGAAGGACATCTCCGGGACAGCCCTTAGAATGGGCTCTCTTCCTAAATCTTAGCTTCATTGCACCAGCATATATAATCAAATCGAATACTTTGACCCCTGACTTAGAAAATCTTTAATAATAAGGAAAATAAAAGAGAGATAGACACAGACAGACAAACAGACAGACATAAAACAGCCTTGAACTCCTATGTTTATTGCAGCAATATTCGCAATAGCCAAGATCTGAAAACAACCCAAGGGCTCACAAATAAATGAGTGGATAAAGAAATAGTGGTTTTATACAGAATGGAATGTTGCTCAGCTATAAGAAAAGATGAAACTGGGGAGTGGGGGGCAGAGTGATTGTACAGAGAGTAGGGCGTTTGTCTTGCAAGTGGCCAGTCTGGGTTCAATTCCTGGAATCCCAATTCCTGGAGTCCCCTGAGCCTACTTGGAGTGATATCTGAGCAAAGAACCAGGAGTAAGCCCTAAGCACTGTCACATAAAAAATAAAAATCCAATAAAATAAGAGATGCAATTGGAGTCAGGGAGATAGCACAGGGGCTAGGGCATATGCCTTACATGTGTCAGACTCTGGTTTGGTCTGTAGAACCTTACGGAACCCTGCACCAGAAAATCCAGAGCACTGTCAGGATGGTCCTGGTGGTCCCCAGCACTGTGGGATCTGGACATCTGACAGACATTGGCTGAGAATCACTGGGAGTGAGCCCCTGGGGCTCTCTGAGCACAATCTCCTACCCCCATCCCAACACAGAGATACAAAATCTTACAGTTCACTGCAACTTGGACAGAGCTGAAGAGTACAGTACTGATGAAGGAAAAAAAGACAAAACAGCAAATGACCTTTCTCATATGTCGAGCAGAAAGATACAAAATAAGGTAATAAGTAATGGCCACAGTAAGTGAATAAACAATGGCCTGAGAATCTGCCAAGAGAACCGAATTTGCTAAGGAGAAACCAAGAGACAATGATGGAGAGACACTGATACTCTGGGGGAGAGTGTGACGCAGCAACATGGCATTCCTGAAATATCAGTAGTGAGAATACTATGAATCATGGTGCTTTCATTTTAAAAAAAATCTAAGGGTAATAAAAGTATAACCTTGAATAGGTTGCCCATCTTATGAAGTAAGGGTAATGCAAACTACCTCCTAGAGCTGCTAGGAGTATTAAATGAGCTAGACTTGTAAAATGGGCAAATTGGGTCAAAGGATGATAAATAGAAACCAGATTTCTGGTGGGGAACACAATGTAGTACATACAGATGTTGACCTAAAAGACTACTCACCTGAAACCTATTATATGTGGCTATAAACTAATATTGCTTTAATTTAAAAAATAAGAAAAGTACCTTGAAAATATGGGAGGGATGTGAGATATTTTAATGACCAACTCCAATAGTGACAGTGTCCAACTTTAAATCTGCTGAGCTGTCTAAGGGGGCAGGCCATTTCTACTCCAGAACTCTGGATGGGGAAAACCCTCAAGCCATGATAAATAACAAAGTCCAAACTGCAACGAAATAACTAGAAACAGATTCCATCTTGTGCTAAGATCTGATTGTGCTTCAACACTGAAACAGAACAGGGATAAGAAGTCAAAGCATTTTCTTTTACTACCACATCTAGAGTTCAACCAAGGAAGGCCCTTCTTCATTCTAATCTTCCCTACATCCTGCTAACTTCACTTACACCTTAAAGAGAATATAATGGGATTGAGGGAAAAGTGTGTGATTCACTGTGTACCTGAAAGAACTAGGGTATAAAAGACCCCAGGCAGACCCACCAAAAACACAAATTGGCGCTTTTATCTCTTCTGTCACCTACAAGTCTTCCTCTACGTATCCGGGAGTCTTGGCACAGTTCTAACTCTGTGAAATAAACTCACACCCTTGTTTTGACTAGGTTATAAATATCTCAATGCTTTCCAAAGCTATCTTCGAAGAACGGTTTTAAATAAACTTTATTTTGAAAAATTATAAACATACATAAGTAAGTGTAAGCTTTAACTGTAAAGCTCCACAAATCTCTCATAGACTGAACACCAGAGGAAAAAGAGAGCATCTAGTTAGTAATCAGGCAACTCCCTGCCCCCTCCAGAAATGCCTCCCCCTAGAGTTAACCATTATTCTGATTCTCAGCCTCAATAGTTTTAAACCTCTTTAATTATCTACAGAAATATTATATGATACAAGGTGTGTGTGTTTGTTGGGGGGGAGGGGTTGTCCATTAGTTTATTTTAAGTGAAAGAGACTGGCTAATAAAAAAGAAATTTAAGGCAAATGGATTTCTTTATTTGCGGGGAGGGGGCCTTTTTGGGTCACACCCAGTGATGCACAGGGGTCACTCCTAGCTCTGCATTCAGGAATTACTCCTGATGGTGCTTGGGGTTCCATATGGATACCGGGGATCAAACCCAAGTTGGTCGCATGCAAGGCAAACACCCACGCCACTGTACTATTGCTCCAGCCCCCGCAAACGGACTTCTAAAGAACACTGAAAAGTAAATCTTCATATTGTGCCCTACTTATCAAGAAAGCCTATATGACGGGGACAAGGTGACAGGCTTGGATACTTGGGGGAAAGCCAGCTGGTATTGAACCTCTAGTGCTCCTGGTTTATAAAAGGGAAGAAAAGATATCCACAGACTCTTTAGAACAAATTTTCTCTCATTTCAGATTGAGATCATGTGCCTATAACCTCTCATCTTCTTCAAGTTCCATAAAGATGTGAGTTATGTTGCAATATATGCTGATGAGTACAAC